ACTTGTCGCATGCATCTGAACTCGTCGAGGATAGCACAACACGCAGCTCTGGACCTGTTCGTACTTGGATTTCCCCAACAAGCCAACAAACTTCTCGAGACAATCCATAAGTACGGTCTCGACACAACAACGGCCGACTACTACGGTCACACTACCGAAAGCCAGTTGCAAGGAGCATGGACAACTAGCGACACTTTCCCAACATGGGCCCGCAGAGCAGACGACGCGAATGCGGATAGCATCAGCACCGCGGGTTTGCCGAAGAACATCGCAACGAAAGCTGAGGAAGGGACGCTCAGTAAAGAAGATGTGGAAACCGTACGCGAGCGCCTAAATATGAAGCCGGACGCTACCTACAGGCATGCCGGGGAAACCATGACGCTCGGTGCGGTGACACAGGTTGCGTTACTTGCGGACGAACATCGTCTAGCTACCAGTCTGGTCGAAGATAACATGAAAGAACTATATCAGTACTTGCTGGATAATTGGGACAACCCAGATAGAAGCGGTGACGAGACCAGGCACTACATCTTTCGTCGCCAAGGCTTGGAGGATTGCCCAGGCATCTGGCCCGTTCTCGCGTCTGTCAAGCTCGGGGATACATTCGGTGTGCGTGCATCTGACGTGGATGAATATGTCAAAGAAGGTTGCGCCCTCATCGAGAAGCGTTCTACCGAAGGCCCCGCTCGACCGTATCGATCCAAAACGATGGCCGAACTTGTAAAGATGGTTGACAAAAACATCCTCACCGAACGCGAAGATAGCGGTGAAGATACAATACCCACTGTTCTCAAGGACCGCGCAATGGAAGCTCAGATTGCCGACCTCGAAAATCGCCTCTCCTCGCCCGACGAGGATTTGTTCGTCGCGCTCCCCGGCGGAAAGCTTCCTGATGACTACAAAGACTTCCTACGTGCGAGCAACGGCATCGATGAGAATATCTTCTACAGCACAGACGAAGTCAATATATCAGGAAGCTGGATGCATGACATGGACTATACTCTGTTCCCCAACGAAAACAACGGCCACCTCCTTCATGGCAGCGATAGAGACTTCGACGAGATCGAACTAGGCGACTACGCGTGCTTCACCATCGGCACTGGCGATGGTGAAGGCAACGTTACACTTATACCACCTGCGTCGGTCAAACCCATCGTCGCGAAATTCGAGAAGGTGTACGCGGAAGCAAACGAGGGAAACAAGAGAGTTTATGAGCGTGCAGCTTTGGATCTTTATGGTGGTATAGATCAGCTCAGGGCGTTGGAGTGGCTATGCATCGAGTTTCAGCACTCCGCGTATGAGGAGAGAATTTGGGGTGGGCTTAAGCCTTTTCTGGAAGAGTATGTCAAGTGGGGAGTTGATCAATGGGGCGCAGTGGAGAGACGGGAAAGGAGGGACATGAAGAAGGAGCAGGAGGAGAAGGCTAAGAAGAGGAAGAGGTAAGATGGTCAGTCTGATGGGGTGAGCGACGACACCAAGTCCCTTCGTGCGACGTAGGATTTGTAGTCCGTCATATGGAGGCTGTGACCCCGCCTTAAGCTCACTGTCAGCCTCGCAGTGGCGCAGTCGCGGCTGAATTGGTTCAGATAGGCAGCATTGCTGGGATAGGCAATGTCTCCTTCTTTAAACGGTAGTGTCGGCAAAACTCGGTGTGCGACGGGCCTTGGGCTGCATGTCAGCACTGGTCTCGCGTATAAAGACTGCAAAGCCTCTGGCAGACGGAGAGCATTCGCGCGCTAAATGTCCATGACACTCTGATTCGCATGGCTCTGCAACCCTTCTACTAATACCAAAAGCCAGTTTTACGACAACTTGGCGCGCGTTTCAACATTTTGAACGATAGACGAAAGACCGAACGATGTTACAATTACAAATTGAGGTGCCAGAGTACGACAAAGGATGGCCACGGTTATCAGGAGATGTAAGCAGCGGAAATACTGCATCGTTGAAAGTACTGTTCAAATATCACGGAGTCGACCCAAATCTGCAGGAAGAACATGGCTACTCTCTACTGCACAGCGCGGTGCACTCTCGCTCAGAAGTTGTTGTCAAACTGTTAGTTGAGAAAGAGGAAGTCAACGTCAATATACGCGACAACAAAGGTCGAACTCCATTGTGGGAAGCTGTCTCGCGAGGCTACAAGGCTGTCGTTGAGCTATTGCTAGACAGCGATAAAGTGGACCCCGATGCGAAAGATGACAACGGCCGAACACCACTATTTGCCGCAGTGATGGGTCGAAGTGGCATCTCACTATCCGCTACGATAACGGGGGAAGGCTTTGTAATACCTGCGACCATAACAGCGATGGAGGGCATCGTAGAATTGTTGCTTGCTAGCGGAAGAGTTGACCCGGACGCAAAAGATGCACGTGGTCTTACGCCTTTAGCGTGGGTCTCGCGAGCTGGGGACGGGTCGATAAAAATTGCCGAGATGTTACTCAGTACTGGTAGAGTGGATGCGAATTCTAAGAACTCGATCGGCATAACACCTCTCTTGTGGACTGCGCCATCTCACAACGATAAGATGCAGAATTTTCTGCTCAGCAGTGGCAAACTTGATGAAGACCTGGGGCCAAGCAAGGGCTCCGGCGACGTCGACTCTCGATACATCACTCATTGGATAAACTCATGCGACGCCCAACATGGAACACGATGTAAGCCAGCATCTCTCAAGCACAAGTCAGCTCAGCAATTGCCGCATTGGGTTATCGACGTCGGCCGAGAGTGCTTGGTCCCTGGGAATACTGCACCGCGTTACGTTGCCTTGAGCTACGTATGGTCACAGGGGTTTCTCAACAGCACCAAGCGTACGAAGCGGCCATCTGACAGTATTTTGCTCAAGAAGCTCAATTTATCAGCTTTCCAAACACCTGGTCATCTGAAACATGTATGGACGCAACTCCCCACCGCTGTCAAGGACGCCATATTGTTAGTCCGCAGGCTCGAAGAGACTTACCTGTGGGTCGATTGTTTATGCATCATCCAGGACGACGAAAAGACACGAGAGCAAGTGGATCACATGGGCGATGTATACTCTGGTGCACATTTTACTATCATAGCGGCAACTCACTTCGGCAAGCTCTCTAGCTCTTGGGTTGGAGCTAGAGGAGATAACGAGGTAGAACACATGTACGACAATCTCTACAGTTCCAAGTGGGCTACCCGTGGCTGGACTTTCCAGGAGCAGATGCTCTCAAAAAGAGCTGTAGTTTTCAGCCATCGTTACATGTTCTGGGAATGCCAGGAATGTGTTTGGAGCCCAGATGGACCAACGCCGGAAAAAACCACGACCAGGAGTCCTTCTTTTCAGGTGCCACACTACGAGAAGGCTAACCGCATACTATCAAGCTGTTATCCCGACTTTGACCTGTACACGGAGATGATTAGTCTCTATAACAGTCGCCATTTTACATACCCGCAAGATGCTCTACCGGCCTTTGCTGGTATCTTGGCAATTCTGAGACGCAACTTCCCCTCTGGATTCCATTATGGATTATCTCGTATTCATCTGGATATTGCACTTTTGTGGCAGCCCTTCCACAAAGCGCATCGCAGAATACGAACTGACCAGGATTGTGGTACCATAGCGCCAAAAGCGCATCTACCTTCATGGTCATGGTGCGGATGGACCTGCCCCGTCGACCCATATCATCTTCGGACACGATCTTCGTACTTCTTTCAGGATAATTGCACTTCTCAATTACCGATTTGGAGAACACAAAAGCTAGTACAGTGGTACTCTCTACCCGAGGATATGCACTGCGTAGTACCAGCGGACCGGCTATTGAGACCTGAAGGTAAATCGTCCGTAGACTACAAAGACGACGTATCTTCGAGTATACTGGTGACTCAAGTTGGGGAGACTTGCTACCCTTCCGTAGAAGCCGCGGAGACTGTTCACCCAGCGCGCCAAGCAACAGAAGCTTCGCCCCCTATCAGTTCTCCACTACTTGCTACAAGTTCACAACACAGCTCTCAGCCTCACGACACATGGCCTTTCCTTGCGTGCGAGACATCATGTCTGACCTTGCGCATCAAAGCTGTTCTTTATTCGTACCCTGCTTCGTGGCGAAAGGTGAGGGCATGGAGACCAGGATATCCGTCAATATTCAAGCTCCCACGATTCGCAAATGGGCCAACCATTCAAGATGCGTGCGATCTCATTTGTCTCGAAACCCGGGAAGGGCTCCCTGCTGGGATGCTACGTCATATGGAGAGAGCCAGACTGGGACCAGGCGAAAAAGTAGAGCTCGTAGCGATATCTACTGGGACCATCGATTCCACCGGTGTTGAAGGTGACGAAGAGGACAAGCTGTATAGACTAGTGATGGAGGCATACGTGGGCAGTGGTCCAGTATATGCAGAGACTTCTGAGTACCTAGGTCAGTATTGCGATTGTGCCCCCATCTCATGCAACGCCGAGCTAACAGCTGCCCAGAAGTAAAGAAAGAGATGGAGTTGTATGGTGAAGAAGGCCCAGATGGACGGGAGTACCACTTCTACAACGTGCTATGGGTTGAGCGCGAGGAAGGAGTAGCATACCGGCGTGCAGCAGGACGCGTACCGAAGGCGATATGGGATGCAAATTGTACTCCGCTGACGAAGATCATCCTTGGTTGATCACGGTCGATCAATAGACGAGAATGCACTTCTACTTCGCCTCTACGCCCGCATCACTCTCTTGTATTTGTCACCAAGACCCTAGTCGGGTAAACGGCATCACATGCGCGGAGACTGGTCAGGCAGCTTCGCGCTATGAGCATGCGTTTGTAGCTCTAGGAGCTACGGACAGATGTTGCGCAGCAATCACGTTGACTGCGCCACTAGCTCGGACTCCGGACGAAAATCGACGGTGTCCGTGCCCGGAAGACATCACAATCCCATACATGGGGTAAAAAGCAAGAGGAAATATAAACAGATATCGTCTGCTATACTCGAGAAGATCCTGTTTCGGGCCGAATGCTATTGGTATACAATTCTCTTATACAACAGCCATCAACATGGTCAAGATATTTGCGTAAGCTTTCCCTTGGTGTTGGTTGAGAGGGAATCGCTAATCTTTGCGTTAACTCTACAGCATTGGAGTTACTGGCTGGGTTGGTAATGCAAGCGCTCGCGCGATTGCAGCTGCGCACTCCGACTACGAGTGGACGGTCCTTATCCGCAACAAAACGAAAGAAGACAGTGTGAAGCAATACCTGCCCCAAGGAACACTGCTCGTGATCGGAGACTTTGACAGTCACGACATCATCTCCTCTTCGGCAGCTACTGCAGATATAGTCATAAACTGGGGCAGCAGCGACCATGAGCCGCTCACCAAATCCATCATCGACGGCATGAATAAGAACAAGTCCACCTGCTACCTGATCCACACCTCAGGCTGCGGTATACTTACGGATGAGGTTGCCAGGACAGGGACCTACGGCCAGGCTACCACCAAGGTCTACGACGACTGGGACAATGCAAGCGACCTCCTCACGCTCCCTCCCGAAGCGCCACACGTGAACATCGACACCATGATCTTAGCGCTCGACCGCGAAGCGCCGCACATCAAGACGATGATCGTCTGCCCTCCCATTATATACGGCATGAGCCACGCCCAGGACACACAGGAACGTAGCGCAGCACGGCAATACGTAAACTCCATCCTAGATCGCGGAAAGGGCTTCGCGGTCGGTGACGGCAAGGCAATCGTCAACACGTTACACATCCTCGACTTAGCAAGCTTCTTCGTCAAGGCTACGGAAGCAGCTGCACAGGGCGGTGGCACCGCAACGTGGGGAGGTGCGGAGTCGTACTACTTTGTGGAAAGCGGTGAGATGGTCTGGGGCGAATTCGCGCAAGCTGTTAGCACAGCGGCCTTCGAGAGAGGGCTGCTGGAAACGCCAGATGTGGACTTTCTGAGCGCAGAGGAGGCGATGAAGATTGATCCGATTAGCAAGATTGGTTACGGCTCCAGTGCGCGGTCCAAGGCTGTCCGCGCTTATAAGACTCTTGGTTGGGAGCCGCAGATGCTTGGGATCTATGAGGATTACCTTTCGAACTGGAGATTCAAGGCGGGCGAACCGCACCTGTTCGTGTAAACAAGCTCTAATATGTCGAATCTCTTTTGCTGCAATAGCTTAGTGTATCGGCATAGCTGCCGTGGCATTTGTTACGCGCACGTCTACTCCTTGGCTTTACCTAGGTACTATACGGTCCTTTGGTTGCGCAAGCGATCAACGCCAGGAAGTCGCAGGTAGATACATCTCTAGACTGTGAGCAAAAAGAAGTGCACAACAGTAAAGCGCGCCTCGTTCTTGCGCGATCGGCGTGGGTTTCGCACAAGGAAGACGGTGACTGTGGATTCTGAGGGGGCAAAAAGAAGAGCAAAAACATACAACAGCGGGGATTCGCTAGTGGTCACCCACCTAACTACTAATCCGCCGGTATCATGCTTGTATATGGCTGAGCGGACGGGAAGCCTAATTTTCATGATCCTATGGTCGTATGTGAAAGGATGGGTGATAAGCCGGCTTATAATATCGATGTTAACGCGTGGGAGAAGAGCTAGTCGAATTGGTCAGGCTAGGCGGCTTCGGAGCAGCTACATCGCAGGGCGACGCGACATGTCTGTATACAAAAGGAAGGCAATAGGCCCAGAGGAAAACGTGAGAATGTGAAGATGTTGTTGCAAGTTTCGCGCGAAAGGAGGCCCGCGGGCATGCGCCGCACGAGCGCGTCACGTTCGTGCCAAGGACGCCAGTCAGGATCGCGCTACGCCGCTTCTCTGTCGTTCGCTTCTCATCTCGGATGCGCGACATCTCCTGGGCATCGCAACACCACACGGCAAAATGAGCTCCTAAATGCGCGCGTCAGTTATACTCTCGAGTTTGAAAGTCAGGTGCTACGATGTGTCCTGACGCCCGGGGCTACATCGTCGACCCACCATCGTCCCCGCCAGTTCGACATTACATCACGCAGTCTGTTCACTTTCGGAACTCACTATCTAGCGTGTATCTTCATGGAAGTCATCAAATATGTTGTCCAGATTACATTGATCTAATAAGAATCCTCATGTGCGCAAACACATGACGAAGCAGCAAAACGCTCGTGTACACGATGCGCTTCTCGCCGTGCGAAAGCCAGGCATTATCTATTTCCATTTGAAGCAGGGTCAACAACGACTAGAAGTCTTTACTTGTTACCGCTACCGGTACCCTGGCCGGAGACGCCGCCACGACGACCGCCTTCTTGTTCGTATTCGCCGTATGTTTCTGGCATCGTAGTGATTTTGTTGGGAGGGATGCTTGTGTTGGAGGTGGTGGTTCTGTATGTGGTTATGTTGATGGTTGTGTAGGAGTGTGAGGGTGTGAGGGTGGTTCGGTTGTTGCAGCGCGAGAAGTCTATTTGTAGTAGTTGGGGCGGCAGTCGTGAAGGCACCATGTGAGACGAATGTCAGGTGTTGTGAAATCACTTGGCTGTAACGACGCCAGTGAAAACGACTGCATAAGACATGTTCCACTGTAAGTAAGATGTTTGAGAAGATGAAAGTCTATTAAAGTTCAATCCTAAGTCTAATACTCCTATCTGTTACTCCAAGCCTTCCTCGTCCACACCTAGTAAGTGACCTCTCCGAATTCCTCGTCAGCGAGGATCATGTAAGTCTTCTCCTCGCTCAGTTCTATGTCGCACTCCGCGTAGTCGTCGTATAGAGTGGCGTTGAAGAAGTTGCACATGTCCTGAACGATAGGGCGTGCCTTGCCGAGCTCCTCAAATGAGCAAGTGCCCTTACCGCCGAGGGCGGCAGGGAAGGCACATGGCTCGATCGCCTGTTACGGTGTCAAAAAGGTGCTGCAGCTGAAGCTAGGACGGACATGGTACTCACGGCAGAGTAGACGCTGTAGTTGATGCAATGGCAAGTAAAGTCATCGGGCGCACAGCCGTCAGCGTGGTTGGCCTTCTCCTGGCACTGGTGAAGGCACTTGGGCATCCATTTGCTGAGCTTCTTGTTGTCCCTAGCGTCATGACATTAGTATAGAGTATAACGAGGCTTTGGAGGAGCTTAGCATACAAGCACTTGTACTTCTCCATGTTACCCGCTTTCTCGGCTTGGGTGATGTTGTAGGTGTACTGGGCGCTGGCCGCAGCGGCAACGGAGAGTAGAGTGGCGATTTGGGAGAAACGCATGATGATTATCAATATATGATGATTGTGTGGTTGTTGGTGAGTTGATGTATTGGAAGTGATGCTTGATGTTGTGCTTTACTTAGAGTGAGGACGTTACCCTTCTTATACATCAACACTGGCACTACCCTCACCCTTCTCAGATAGAATCAAAGCGTTGTGTGCTGGTAGCAAGTACCTGCAGCACTGTACCATACAGTCCCAACATTGGATGTGTAATATTGATCCATGCAGGAACATCCTCCCGCATTGAGCTAAGATGTCTTAGCGCGACTGTCAAATGGATGCGCCGGCAGAGTCTCCGAGCCCTCACCTCCTCTGGTGTCCCTCAACGTTGGCCCGGACAGCACTATGGTCGGAGCGGAACACGCATCACACCTGGCGGTGACAGGAACATTAGCTGGAGGGTGGAAGCGGTCAACTCTCCCAACATAAATGACAGAAACAACAAAATATCTCGCGATCAGACATCAATGTCAGTAGAGGGTTATCGAAGGGGTTTGCCGTAAACGATACATCAGCATTTCCATAATCGGAAATGCGCTTGTGTCACGATGAAGACAAAATGAGCGACGAAAGACAGGAAAAGATGCGGTCCAGCGAACAAATCCTGAGGCATTTCAATAGCATGAGCGAATGATTTGGCAGTACCGTGGAAGAAGCCGATGCATTGACATTCTAGCGAAATAGGGGATTAAAAAGGAAAGACGACCATACTGGCGCCTGGCTAGGGCTGACAAGAGACAGCATAAACTTGTCATGAAGATGGACTCTCTTATCTGATGCGGTGTGAGAGGATTGCGCAGCTGACCGACTTGCGCATCTGGTTGAGGTGGTGGGAGTGATGTAGAGCATCTGTTGTTGCCCAGGTGGATGGGCCCCTTGTCCTCAGGCGAACCTTTCCGAAAAGGTTTAGTATGTGGAGCTCCGGGACCCCGCCTTACTTCGACCAGACATCTTAACCAGCAATGAGGTTTACTTGCTTATTGTATTGAGACCCGTCCCCTCACCGCTGCCTGGGGTTCGACAAGAGATCACAACTTCGACTTTTGCAGCTGCTCGTTGACGAGCGCGGCGAAATGCGGGTGTGCTGCGCCTATGGCGTCGCATTGCGCCTCCGACAACACGTGCGCATTTCCCAACATCTGCCTGGCTGTTCTTACAGCAAGATACGTGACGATTGGATCCGAAGGCTGCAGGGCTCTCAGAAGACGTAGGTAGCTGGCCATCTCCGCGACGAGGTCTTCATGATCAATAAGACGCTTGATGAATGGCTGCAGATCTTCCACAGCGTCAATACCGAGAGCGCGCATCGCCGCATAGCTATACAGCCAATACCACTTGTCTTCGCCATCGACTTCTGGGTCATCGGGAATGAAAGATGTCGTCGTCTTGCTTCTGAAACACCGAACAAGCCAGTCGAGGACACACATGGCGTAACCTGGTAAGATGGGGCCCATGGCAAGAGCGAGTTGCGAAACGTCTGGGTATTCCACATAGCCGGTTCGAATCGCCTGCGAAGCCGCAGCGAGCGCCCAAACCGAAATTTCGATGGCATATGGACGGTGGCCGCTCTCGGCTTGCTCGGTCATTTGACGACTGCGATCGAGGGAAACGAGACCTTTGGCAGCAGAACACTGGGAGGCGTAGTCCGATGGCGCACCCGAATGAGACGCGACAAGCAAAATTGGAGGACCTTCCAGGAGAAGAGCGCGTATTTCATACGAAAGATCTCCAAATGGCTGCTTCGGGCTATCGTCGAATGAAGCCGTAGTGTCTATGTCCATGTTGCCGAAGCTCTCTTCGAGCTGTGCGCTTGCAACTGTAGCTTGGTCGTCTCGATGGTGTAGCGGCAGCATTTCGTTCCGAGGTTGTTTCTAAGCTTTGTAAGTCTGTTAAGCCGGATTGAGGCTCTGCAATGCTGCGACGGAAAAATATGGCTCTTCACTATAGGCTGCGCCTGCCTGCCATGATTGGCAACAGCGCCTGCAACGCCGTGATGACGCAACTATGCGCGCACAACGGTACACCTCGTTCCTGGCGGCGCATAGAACCACGACTATCCTTCGAGAAGGACATTTCGAAAGTATGGCCGTAGTGAATGTGGGTGACAAAGACAATACTAGAGCACGTGGTACTAGCGCGACAATGGACCCACACAACACCTTTGTCTCACTCACCTAGTCTAACTTGCTCAACTCTACACACGACCTTGCGGTATCACAATCACAAATCTTGTGCTATCATCAATCATCGACACCATGGTCAGGAAACGCAACGGCGGTTCGCACCAAAAGACGGACGGCGCCCACAATACTCACCCCAAGACTGCGATGACTACCCATGTTCAATATAAGGCAAAAGAAGGATTTCAACACCAAGACCAAGCAACACAGCAAGAACGCGGCCGTAATGGTGCACCTGGATACGGTGGCAGGCGTGGACATGGCGACCGGCGGAGCAGGTCCCCAGGGCGAGACATCCAACGCGAACAACAAGCCAAGCACCGAGATAATAGGCGCTCGCGTACCCCACCCCCAGCCAAAGAGATCCGCGATAGGCCAATCAAGGTCCAAGAACTCCGCACAAGTGCGACTACCGACTTCGTTGCACAAGTTTCCCGGAAGCGCAAACAAGAGGCAACTGAAGATGATGGACTGCATGCGAACAAGAAAGCGCATATCGGACCTGGAGAAGTGAAACTGACTGTAGTCGCTCACAGAAAGGAACATGCACGCGCACCAGCGGTGGAGAAGAGTGTCGATGCAAACAAGAAAGTCCCTAGCCTACTTGACCTAAAGAACATGACCGAGGAAGACAGGAAGAAGCTCCGTGATGACAAGTTCAAACAGAAACCTGTTGTTCCTAGCAGACCTGCTGTATTGGAGACAGTCTCTCATGAGCTAAAGAGCCCTAAGACGAGACACAGTGTCAAAGACGGTTGCAAGATCACAGCACCCGAAGCGGAGCCGGAGGCAAAGGCGCTTACTCCACGGACCGCGATTCAAGACACCAAAGCCAGCTCGATAAAGCAGTTCGATGCTAGCACCAAGACCGCGACCACGATGCCGCCCGATACATCCGTCACCAAGGGCGCCGCCTCAACCCCCAAGTCACGGCAACCGAGCGCTGGAAAGGAAATACACAAGATGGAAGACGCAAAGGCAGGCGAAAGCAGGGAAGGTGGCGCAAAGCCAAAGCCTAGTTCTACTCCAAGCCAAACAGTCACGCCGCCGGCTGAGCGCAGGAAGCGGAAGCTTGTGGAGTTAGAGAATCCTGAGGTAGCTTCGCGCAAAAAGGCCAAAGCAAGCCACGAGGCTATAAAGAGACGAAATGCTAAGATCAAGAAGTCTCTGGATGATCACCACTTGTACGCCGGTCAGGATCGCTTCCCAGAGGAAGGAGTTACCTTTTTCGACTACGATGTTTACAGCATACCCCTCCTATGCTCTCATACGATTGAACATCAGTACCCATTCGAGCCTATGGATGAGCCTTCGGACAGGCTGAAACGATCCTTCACTGATGACAACGAGGTTCATGTTTTTGGTCGTAAGATGCTTGTTCTGCGGCAGGAAGCGCTTCGCCTTTCCAAGAAGAAGTTTTGGACATCCGACGACCTTGGCCGCAAAGATGCCTCGAAAGTCGAGCCCACTAGGGATATTGGCGACTGTGATCTCTATCTTTACAATGGGAAGGTTCACGTCGCTACAGAGCGAGGACTTCTTCTAGCAGCAGAGTACCTCAAGCTCATCGGGGTTCCAGACACGCAGCCAGTGCGTTTCCACGGGTACAAACCCGCTTGGATGAGCCAAGTCACGCCCAAGCCGGAACACAGACGTGTCTTGGAATCATGGCATCCTAGTGCAACCTTGAAAGAAGGCGGTTGCATCTCGATCACGCACAGCTCTACCGTAGTAGTATACGAGCACGGCGTTTTCGACATCGACCACAACACCGGCGCGGAGACCCGAATGGCCTACGGTGCGCGAGAGGATGATGGCGTTGTTGGTTGGTTCGACTATTCGAAAACATGTCGCATAGACTGGCTCAAAGACCCAGAAGAGACAACTACAACCACACACGACCCTACCATCATTGACTGGTCAACATTTGACTATAGTCCTCTCGCAGCTCGAGCTACAGCTCAACAAGCGGCGCAGCGTAAGTTGACGGCTGCAACGCGGGGAATGGCAACAGTTTATGCATCCACAGCACCACTCCCGCCGATCACACCAACATTGGCATCTCCCGCGGGAAGAGCAGCGACACCTGGCAGCAATGGCGAACATTACTTGTCTGAACTTGCGCTTGCAGCGGAAAGCTCATTACAGTCTTTGATGCATGCTGAGTCTCCAGGTCCCCACGCATCGCAAAAAGGAGGAAAGTCGCCACCGTCGACGATCAAGGGTGGGCGTGTATCGCGACATGACAGTCCTAATTCCCAATCCGAAAAAACCGGGGCAGAGAGTGGCAGCGACGTCGTTGGCGACGATGATGTATCTCAAGGAACTATCGATCCCACGTTACCGCGACAAGTCACAGACCTCAGCTCTGTCGTGACGCAAGAGACGGCGATAGACCCGTCCTTGAGTTCCCAAAAGACCTCAACAGGTCTTGACGAATCCGAAGAACACCAAGTATCTTCACATGAGCCTACAGTACCGGTTACTAAAGCAGTGCGACCGTGCAAGACTCCGTCTACAATATCTCAACGCTACGATGTTGAGGTAGATTGGGACGATACCGACATCCACGAGGATGATGAAGCTCAAAACCAAAGCCCAGATCACAACAAAGAGGACGAAGAGCTTTGAGTTGGGAACAAAAGTATCCCGAGCCTTACTACAATCACACAGTCTACAGGAGTGAGATGGTCATAGGCTCTTGCAAGGACATTGAGCAGAAAGAAAGAGACGGAAACTATACCAGTCAGTGCGACACCGCTAAACTGGGTGTCGTCATTGATGGCGAGGTATAGGACGGATTCAGTACGATTGGTCTTCTGGAGTAAGTAGAGGAGCGGCTCGCTGTCTTCGTCTGCACAGCATGGAGCCATCGCCCAAGAGCCGGCATTGGTCACAAACACCAAGCATACGGCGCGATCTTGCTACGCAGAATCCCAACACCTGGAGATCATGCCATCCCAGTGAACCCCAGAAGGCCCTGCCAGCATGGCCAACGCTCAGATTCCTTCCTTCGCAATATGTACGCGATGAATCTGAGACTTTCTTTGCCTGAAAGGAAAGAAAATCTTACCAAAAAAAGATGAAAGCAGAAAAACGCCAAACCGGACAAAAAAGACGAAACCCAGCGCCAAAGCTGCGCCCCTCCAGTCTCTCAGCACACCCGCCACTTGTATGGTCTAGCGGATGAGCCTTATGGGCAGAGGCAGACTACATATGACCGAGAGAGTACCCAAACAGGCATGCGTTGCAAGCGCGTCATCACAGTCAAGTCGCCATCCATCCCAAAGCCACACAGCGCATGTACTGTTCACGTACGAGCGACCCATCTACGATACCCATTTTCGATTTTCAGGCGCAAATTTGAGAGTGTTCGGAGAACGACAAGCGAAGATAGTTGGAGGAGCATCAGTCCATTTGCATCAGTACGAAGTTCAAACCGGGCACTGCGCGGGTCGCACGTGTGCTCGTAATACGTAGCTATGGATCCTCGATATGTTTGATAGTTCCATAATCATTAGATAATAGAAAAAAAATGTTGCAAAACTACGTGAACTACGCTGTGCAACCCGCCGCTGAACTGACGTGATCTGTATCCATCTCACAGCGTACAGGTAGACTTCAAAGTTCTCCCACCATCTAGCTTCCTCACATGCGTTCCTGTTCCCGTTCCAGAAGCAGTAGGGTTCATCGGCAGTGGCTTTCTCTTTTCAACAACGTTGGCCTTCACACTCTCGGTCTTCTCTTCTTCGAGCTTATTTGCTAGCGCTGACCCGCTACTAGCGGAAAGTCGCAACTTCTTCTTTTTATTGTTGTGCGCGCGGAACCTGATGCGTCAGTATGTAATCATACATTGCGAGAGCTGGACTAATACCAGAAAATGAGGAGCGAGAGAATAAGTAGACCGCCAACGGAGCCTCCAACTGCTGTGCCAACGGTATAGCCTATCCCGATATCAGCACATAGAGAAGATCTTTCAGATGCCTCTGCATAATGTAAATACCTGTAGAGAAGCCTGAAGGGCTGCCGCTCGAATTAGACGGTAGGGTACTGGTCGGGTTTGGCGGAGATGGAGATTCTGTCGGAACTGCTGTCGGAACCGGAGATGGATTTGCTGAAGTAAAGTACGTAGGCGCGGAATCTGAAGATGATGATGATGATGATGATGTTATTGTTGTTGTGGATGGTCGCGTTACGGTAATGAACACCGATTGTTGGCCATTGAATAGAGAGCTTAGTCCCGTAAACGCACTTGACTCCAATGCAGATGAAGAAGAGGCGACCCGCGTAGTATCAAGCTGTAGAGTAAGTTTTAGTCTTGCTGATGTAAAATTGGGTTTCTTACAAATTGCGCGCTTGTCATTGTGATGAAATTGAGAAGGAGCAAGTATAAAAGCAACGCTTCCATATTTGACAGCAAGAGGGATAAGATGACCATTCGAAGCTCAACCTAAAGAAAACGCTTGATCTATGTATGTACCTTTTTTCAGGTGTGTGGGTCTCAGCCGCAACGAGGCGTCGGTCTAGAAACTCCACAAGTTTGGGGGCCAAGCTTATCGCGCGAGGGGGAAGTCCAGCTGAGCGATAAGGCAGACTTCAGCCGCATCGAGGCTGGCAACCTCTCTCAATAAAAATATCGAACGTTTCGATCTCCTCTTTTTTACTCTTTAATA